AATATCGCGAATGACCTGCCGGGTAGGGTTGATGTACTTCCGATAACAAAGGAAAAATACATTTCTTTCACAAAAAATTTAGATCAAAATTTAATTAAATTCCGGTTTATTGACTCTTTCCGTTTCATGAATTCCGCATTAGATACGCTATCATCATACTTGACCGAGTTTCCAAATTTAAAATCAGAGTTTTCTGAACTAGCCGACGATGAGTTTAATTTATTAACGAAAAAGGGGGTGTATCCGTATGACTTCATGGATAGCTTTGCTAAATTTAATATCCAGTCTCTGCCGGAACAGCCGCACTTTTATAACCGTTTAGAGGACAAGAACATTTCGTCTAAACAGTTCGCGCACGCGCAAAAAGTTTGGGATACATTCAAAATTCAAAATTTAGGTGAGTACACGGACTTATACATGAAAACGGACATTTTACTTTTGGCTGACCAGTTTCGCATCAGTTGTCACAAGACATACGGCCTCGATCCAGCGAATTACTACACCCTACCTGGATACACCTGGGACTGTAAGCTGTTTAAGACATGCCAGACATTAGAATTGTTGACCGATATCGATATGTTAATGTTTGTCGAACGGGGAATTCGTGGAGGTCTAAGTCAATACTCTAAACGTAAAAGCGCGGCTAATAATAAGTATCTTCCAAATTTCGATCCGAGTAAACCGGTAAAATATTTATCCTATTTCGACATTAACAATCAATACGGTTGGGCTATGAGCCAGTACTTGCCATATGGCGGGTTCGAGTGGGTAGATTCCAACATCGACGTCACCAGCGTATCAGACACTTCATCTGAAGGCTATTTGCTTGAAGTAGATTTGGAATATCCAGTTCATTTACATGACTCACATCGCGACTTACCTTTCTGCCCCGAACATAGCGCTCCCCCCGGATGTAAAAATTTTAAACTTTTAGCCACCCTCCATAATAAGACCCGGTATGTAATACATTATAGAGCTCTTAAACATGGACTTAAACTTACAAAAATTCGCCGCGTATTGAAATTCAAACAGTCTCCATGGCTTAAGTCTTACATCGATCTGAATACCGCGTTACGTCAGGCGGCTAAAAACGAGTTTGAAAAAATTTGTTCAAGCTAATGAATAACACGGTATTCGGAAAAACCATGGAGAACATCCGCAAGCACTCAATCGTTAAATTGATTAATAAATGGGATGGGCGTTATGGTGCGGAGGCATTAATATCTAAACCTGAGTTCAAGGCAGCTACCATTTTCAACGAGAATTTGTCGATCTTGGATCTCGCCAAAACCACCATATATGACTTTCACTACGATTATATGGCACCCGAGTTTGGTTACGACTGCTCCGTTCTTTATACCGACACCGACTCGCTGATATACGAAATCACAAATAAAGACGTCTATGAAGTCATGCGTCGCTAGTCACACTCGGTTCGATACTTCAGACTATCCCGCCGATAACAGGTACAACATCCCTCAAGTCAATAAAAAAGTCTTGGGTATGATGAAAGATGAGTTTAACGGTGTCCCTATGGAACTTTTCGTGGGTCTTAGATCTAAAATGTATATGGTTAAACGATCTGATGGCGATTACGTGGCTTTATCAAAGAAAATTAAGGGTATAAAAAAATCGGTAATCAAAAACGTCATCACGCTCGAGGTTTACCTCGAGTGTCATCACGCTCGAGGATTACCTCGAGTGTGTCGATAATTTCAAAAATAAATATATTCAGCAAAATTTAATATAATCTGAAAAACATGCAGTTTTCACAATGACTCAGGAAAAAATAGTTTTGAGTCCACACGACGATAAGCGATATTTGATAAAGAGATCGTATGAGACGCTGCCATGAGGGCACTACAGTATTATGGAAGAATAATCTGTGCTGTCCCAGCAGACAACATACTTAGAGAATGCGATTTGGAAAAAATACATTAAAAACAAACAAACCGTCTGAAATACTGGAAGAATTATACTTCAACTACTGGTAATTGTAGAGATGTAGAATACGGCCCCTACAACAATAACAGTGACCAGTGTAACACGCTCCTACGATTCGATTCTACTGACTATATGTTTTCGAAGAGCTACATATGTAGAGTGCTCTGTATTGTCATAATTTTATTGGAAAATAAATACATATTTTACATAACTGTGTTTTATTTTTTTCCTCATTTCCAAAAGGTTAGAAATAATACTCAATCATATTTTACAAGTTTTTTTTATTAAGGATATCTGTACATAACATTACAATACATTTCACCGTAATTTTTACATTTGCATTTTTTAAATAAATTCTCTGAGGCTTCATTACTACAAAACGCCGAAAACTGTTCACGTTCTTTCACATGGTCTACAAGGGCTGTAGCATGTCCTTTTCTACGATGCGCTTCCAGCGTATAAATGTAGTTCAACGTCTTTGGATTTGAATGCTTGTTGAAGGAGTCAAAGTTCATTTTAGACAGCAAGGCAAACGATACGGGTTTTTCGTCTTCATAACGTATATAACATGAAGGCTGTTTATCCAAGTACCATTGATTAATTAATACATCGTCGCGAATATTTAGCTTCCTTATCTCTCTCAAGGCTTTTGCTTTAAAGTAGAACGCTGTTTTCATTTTTACGACTTGTCACTACCAAGAACAAGACAAGAATGAGACGCTTGCTCAAGGTATTCTTATTATGTAGGAGTGGAGGGAGTAGGTGCTCGTATTTTAATCTATTTTTAGCATTTTATTAACGTCATTTACAAAAATTTCAAGGGGCGCTTTACAAGTTTAAAATCGTTGTATTTACATGTAATATAAGGTATTTCGTCCTTGATACGATTAAAAAGGCTTATACTGTTGGGATTATACTCCAAATCTGCCACGACGCGCGCTTTCGGGTGCTTCTTCTGCAACCTCTTCAAGGATTGCGGGAAACGCCTTCTCTGTGTTCTAATGATATAGTACTCGGTTGATTGATTTTTCTGTATTATATCAAACATGTGTCGTTTGTTGGGGTTAACGACCTTTGGACTTATATCTTCTACGTAATTTTCCAAATTCTCATTCCGGGTTTTTAATTCGTGCAACTTGGCCTTGAATTCGTTAACCAAATATTTTTCAATTATATTACTGCATTTCATGTAGAATTCCGGAGATACCCAGCAAGCAATATCCAGGAACAACTCTTTGGGTAAGTAGGTTCCAGAAATAATCGTATTGTACACGGGGTTCTTATTGCCTTTTACTGTGTAGGAGGGGCCGGGGGACGTCGCTGGAGAATCCGAGGAATCACTTTCCGATGCAAAATAACGCATAAGTTCTTTCGATCTTTTATTACGTAGCAAGTTATCAAATCTTCGGCCGCCATCCTGGCATAGCTTTGTAGCGTTAAAGTAGCCTGTGTCCTTGTCCACAATAATCTTAAAATCTCCATATAAACCGTACCAGTATTGGTCTTGGATTTGCTCGAAGCAAACATCTCTTAGACTTGACATTTTGAGCACGTCTGAACACTTTGAATGTTAGATGAAGAATGATTACAGACACTGTGATGACTATATTTATCTTTTTTCTTAGCTCGATGCCGCTGAAGACCATTCCAGCCGATGTCTGAAGATTGCGCATGCGTCTGGTGCAGGCGTCTAATGGCCCTCTCTGAAGACCACCACGCCGCAGATCAGGCGGAGCTTGCGCAGACGCATCTGATGATGATGGGGCACGATAGCGTCGACAGCTCGGTCATCTAAAGACGAATGAAAGGAGGACATGTTTGAGTAAGTTACTGAACTATTCCCATATCATGTAGCTTGTTGATAATGTCGTTACAGAGGCGATGTTCTTTAGTTAAACTACACTCTTCGATATAATAACGTAAATCATTTACAAGTTCATTTGGATCGTCTTCGTCGCAATCTGTTTGTTCATTATCCATGTTTGGCGAATGGAGAGGTCTGTATATATATTTTCTATAGCAGGTACTGTTAGTTACAGTAGTACATTTTTTGAATAATGAAAAAATAAGTATGAAAAATAATTGCTGCATTGCGGAAGTATTATCTGTTTTGCGAGTATTTTTTGCGGAGGTGGTGGTGGTAGAACGACTCGTGTATCCTGTTTTGATTAGCGAAGAGAGAGATGTTCCCCGTATATTATCTCACAAGCCCAAATGGATCTACTGCGTGTGGTTCGTGTAGAAACAGTTAAAGTGTGCCCCTATTGTAATCATGTTTTTGCTGTAAAAGACTTTAGAAAACATTTACGCAGACACAGATATTGCGTGGCGTGTAAAAGACGATTCTATAAGGTTCATACTTATAAGAGGCGCCAACACGACGTTAGTTCTTTTCCGTCTGCTTGAACTTCTAATTATTATTATTATATTTTCAGGTAGTTCCTGTCTACAGCTAACATGGCCAGACGTGTACAGCGTGGAATGCGTCAGGTATGTGTACTTTAGGTTACTAATCTTGTATTCATACCTTTCCAAAGCTCCTCTTAATCTTAAGTGCATTTCAACCGTCTCAGTTACTAAAAAATCGTAACAAGGAAGATCGAACGCGTCTATTACTTGCATCTGAACATTTAGGTTTTCTTTATTTTTAAATCTTTAAATTTATTGCCTTTTCAATCCACGGTATGTTAACCGCGCATCTAGGTCTTCACTGGGATCAACGTACAGGACCTTTATTTCTTTATGTTCCAACAGCTGGGTAGTCCTTTTTTTTTTTTTTGAAACGCTACACTTTCCAGCGCCGCTCTCAATAATAATGAAGAAGACATCTAACCTGTTGCGTTCTATAGCAACTAGGTCTTCATCAAAATATTTGATACTATGGACCCGCGATATAATGCCTCGCGCCCCAGTGGCTGTCCAAAATATTATTGCAATTTTTCTGTATGTTTACTATAGCCGGCACCTTCTTGTATCAGTGAGGAGCTGTCATCGTTTCACTTTCCAGCACCGCTCTCAATTTTACGTATATTTCTATCGACCGAGACATGCAGCCGTTAAATTTCAACATCAGAAATACAATATTCGACGAGGTCGCGCTGCATATCGAACTCGTCGTCCCTGTGTTCCTCGTGCCACTCGAGGAACTTGGCACGATCTTCCGGTTTCATATTATCGGGGTCATAGTATTCTGCTGCCGGTAGGGGACCCACGTAATTTGCGTTTGCTGCGGTGTTGAATAGGTGAGGGAAGTAACCTTTCTTGAAATTATTGTCCAAGCCGAAAGCCCTAGGCAGCTTAGAAAGAGCCATTGGAAAATAATTTAAGCTGTCCAGGAACTTTACGTTCCCCACTACCATTGAAATAATTTGCCTTCTCTTATCTAGTCTCGGGATCGTAGATGACAAAGAGAAGGGTTGTGGTCTTCGGCTTCTCTGTGTTGGTCTGCTCAGATGATCAGCCGACATGTGGGCCTCTACACAGTGTCACGTTTTGAACGCAACACTTTCCAGCACCGCTCACAATTTTACGTATATTTCCATCTTCACGATATCTCTGCGCAGCTTGTGTTTACCACCGCCCTGTACAAGTTCTTCCATTTTTCTATGGCTTTATGTGCGCTTTATGGCGACATTTACGGTGGCCAGCGGATCGTAGGCCTCCTCCTTGTGCTCCCAATTGACGATGATCGGGGAGCGCTACACTTTCCAGCGCTGCTCTCAATAGCTTAGTGCACCCAAATATCCTTCTGTCTACTTCCTCGTTGAAACTTTGTCAGCTTATAATCGCTCGCTCTCTAAAACGACAGTGCTTTTCATGGGCTTCAAAATGGGCCAACTTCCCCTTTATTTCCTACAATTTAATTCTTTATTTCCTCTAGAATCATCAGCCTCTATGAGATTGCTGTAACCAACCCCTTTGGAGTAGAGGCTGCTCCCCTTATTTAAGCTCTGCGAGATTGTGGTACCCAATCCCTTTGGAGTAGGGGTTACCTTCACTTCGCTCTCTGTTGTTCTCTGATTTGTTTTTGCTCTCTCTTATCTATATTTTTGAATTTATTTTCCAACCACTATCTTTTTCCTGGAACTCTTCCGCAGCGATCTTTCTTCTCTTTTCTCTCTGCTTCTTGTGGGGGCTTCCTCCGACTATTTCATTATATGGCTTTAATACGATACTCTTCAGCATGCTCCCTGTAGAGCTTTCTAAGAAAATAAAGAAATTATTTTTTTTGCGTATTAATTACACCATACTGTACTTTACTAAAGACAGAAAAATTATGAAAAATGGAGTAATTATTTTATGAAAAATTAAATATGGAAAAATTACATCATACTGTACTTTACTATATAGCAAAAAATTATATTACGTCAAACTAAAAATGGAGCAATTATTTTATGAAAAATTAAATATGGGAAATTACATAAAACTGTACTTTACTAAATATATATAGAAAAATTACGTCCAATTAAATATTGAAAATTATTTTATGAAAAATTATGAAAAATTTAATATGGAAAAATTACATAAAACTGTACTTTACTAAATATAGAAAATTATGAAAAATTAAATATTGAAAAAGTAGTCTATTTCTATGAAAAATTAAATATATAAAAATTAGATATTTTTTTTATAGCTTTTTAAACGTTCTCCTAACTATTTCGATAGTAGTTTTACCTTTTGTACACATACTGAGATTTTTCTCATTCCATGCCTCTGCTCTAGATTCCTCCCGGACTGCATCTACCTGCAGTAAGAAGCATCCACGTGACAACGCCTTGGTTTAAAAAAAGAAGCGATCACGTGACAACGCCTTGGTTTAAAAAGAGGTATTGTTCTGTATCCACTGCCGTTATGTAATAAATTATTATTCACAACCTTGGTTTTCTTGATACAATTGCAATATTTAAAACTAATATTTAATACAAATAACGTAACACTATTAATATGTCTTGAACGTTTGAGATTCAGATGAAGAAGGATGCCCCTCCTTTAGCGCATGTCGCTATTTCGTCTCCTTTAGTTTAAGCACTCTAATCTTATATATCATTCCGTATACGATTACGACGTTATTAGACCCATAAACACCAAGTATACCGCCCACGCTATTCATACGAACCCGCCCGGCATCTACTGAAAACGCCAAGTACACCGCAGGTTACGATAATGACGTCATCTATTGATAACGTCAAGAACGCCGCCCGCGAACCCGTCTGATGACGTCATCTGCCGATAACGCCAAGCACACCGCGTCTACTGATAAGCGCACCGTCCGCGTTGGGGGCCTGGGGCGAAGCCTCTCGCATACCTACGCGGAGGAATACCTGGAGGCTGCTTGGGAATACTACGCGAGGGTGCCGCCCGCGCGGAGCAAAGCTTTTGCGGGCGGGCGGGCGGGCGGGTCGTTGGGGGCCCCAGCGGGGCAAAGCCTTGGGTGACGCGGGGCCCCGGGGGCAAAGCCCTAGGTGGGGGCAAAGCCCTATGTGACAACATTTTTTGAATTTCCCGCCTTTTTTTCCCAGCCAAAAATGCTGCGCTCTGATTGGCTGGCGGGGGAGGGGAAGGGGGAGGGAAAAGGAGGAGGAGTGGGGGTAAAATTTGTCAAAAACTGCTAATATGAACCTTCATAAGAAAATACATGGGATTTTGGCTCCGTACGCCTATAGTATAATTACTCACGCGTCTCACAGCGAAGATGCTTCTAGTGGACGACCTGTACGAGGAGTGAATCCTAGGTCGCCCGTGGTTACTAGAGCACCAGGTGGTTATGGACTTTGCGCAGAGGATGCTGTATTTCGGCAAGGAGAGGAGACGTTGCCTATATTGGAATGGCGCTACACGAGTGGAAAGCGACGAAAAGCAGGACGAAGTTTGGGAGATGTTATGCGAGAAGGTACCGCCAGACTTCGAAGAGTGCAAGGACGTCCTGTACGAGCACCTGGACATATTTGCGATGGAGCCGAGACCGGCGTCGACGAGGTTGGCGGAACATCGCATAGTACTCCGCGACGACGAGCCGGTGAACACCCCGCAATATCGCTGCTCAGAGGAGAAAAAAATACAAATTAATAAAGCCTGCGACGAAATGCTACAGCAGGGGGTGATACGACGAAGTACTTCCGAGTACAATTCGCCTGCCCTGTTAGTTAAAAAGAAAGACGGAGGACTACCTTTTTGCGTGGATTACCGCAAATTAAACGAAAAAACGCTCGCCGAGACCGGAACTTTGCCACCAATAGACGACATGCTCAAGGAACTGGGTGAAGCACAATACTTTACGACCCTTGACTTGAAGGCTGGCTATTGGCAGGTGCCTATGGAGGAGAGGTCCAAAAAGTACACGACGCCCGACGGCGGGAGTTTTGAGTTCAACGTAATGCCCTTCGGACTCACCGGAGCGCCCGGAACCTTTCAGAAACTAATGACGGAAGTACTGCGAGGACAAATACACCGATTTACGAAAGTATACCTAGACGACATCATCGTCTACAGGGTGTCCCATTTTTATTCTGAAAAAATTCAGGAAAAGGTAGATCCGATAAAATTAAAGGGACTTTGCTATATAAACTTATTTCGAAATCTAAACCCTTTCCGAAATACAGGGTGTTGAAGTTGAAATATTTTTTAAATTTTTTGTTAATATCTCTTAGAGTTATAAATCAATTGTTCTCAAATTTTGTGTGGTGAATGCCACAGTGCACTAGTAATAATTCACAAAATCTCAGCTCGACAGAAAGAGCCAGTGGCGTGCATTCCGCACTTGCCGATACCTTTTATAAAAAGTATGTGTTACGCCACTGACTGATCTTCAAAATAATAAGTAATTTCAATTGTCCGTGCATTGTTCTGCCAAAAGGCATTCTTACGTTTTTTCCATAATANCCATTACTTGTCCTGCAGGAAATAATTAGATTACGGGATCAGGACGAGCCGTTCCATTAAGCCCGTGTCCTGGATAGCTCCACGTCACTAATCCTGTGATCCTGTCGTAAATTCGGTTTTATCGCGACAAGCATTGTTATTCTGTCAGTCGTTAGCTTTAAATTATGCCGGCCGGGACGCTGTTCAAACACTGGCGGGCGTTTTTCTTATGCGGTCGATTCTATTTACTGGACAGGCATCGGCGGAACATCCGAATGTGATGTCGGTTGCGTCCCGAAACCCTGAAAGCACGGCAGTAACGTTTCCCTTTGTTTGTAGGAATAATTAGCCGTACCCGCCTCACACAGGCTCCGTATACTTTTGACTTCAATTGTAGCTGTATGTAGTAATTAGCCATACCCGCCTCACACGAGTATCGTGTAGTTTTCATTTCAACAATTAGCACCAGTTGCCTAGACATAAAAAAGTTTCATTTGTTTCCCTTCTCTTCTGGAATTAACAGTTTTTGTGACTTCCCATTTTCTGTTTGTATGGATTTATCTAGTTCTGCATCTAGATGCCTCATCTTAAAAATTGTAACGAAATTTTTATTAATTTCGTTTCATTTATTTTATTCACACTGTATAACGTCACTTTTAATTTAACACCTATATTTACTCCTTAATTACTCCCGACCTATCCCGTGCTAACTCGACGAACAACCCGTGTCGTAGAACAGCCTCACTTTCAACGTAGACGGCGTAGCACCGGAGTTTTAAAAGCCGTGACCAACCTACTCTCGGCCCTTCTTGATTTTTGTCATCGAAACGAACTAGATCGTACTCGCGACCATTCATTTTTGGTTTGGAAGCACACCGAAATTTGTCAATCTGGTATGTAAATGTGGTTTATTCCTTGTTAATTAATTGTTTTATAATTGCTTCGCTAATACATATTTTGCTAACGCTTATATTTTATTCATTAAATCTAGGTTTACTTGACCTCCATTTGTGTCAAGGGCACGTGGCAAGAAAAGGTCCACGAAGGGTCTTATCTTGTAGTTTCTTCGTTTAGTGAAGTTTGAAAACCCGTTCTGTTGTGTTTTTTATGCTTTCAGAGTATATGATCGGGACATCGCCTGTTGTTTAACGGTCACACAAAGGCTGGTAGAATTTCTGATTTCGTCGCAGACTAGCAGAGTTTCTCTGAGCCCCTGGCAAATTTATACAGTCTGGATCGGAAATGGTAGGCCAACGTACCTAAGGATCGGATTGGGGTAAGTTTCTTTTATTAATTTACTTTTTAATAAAGGCAGCTTGCTTCGACAATTCCTGTGGCCACCAATTTGACCTTTTTGTGGTTGTTTTAATTTCAGGTATGGGAAAAAACTTGCACTAAACGTATTTTATCTTATCTTATCTTCTAGTTTTTTATTATACGTTTTAAATTCAAGCCATAGCAAAATTTAGTTCATATCTTTTATTTAAATATATTTCTTTTACCACATTTTCATACACATTATTTTGAAAACTTTCATATAGAGTGTTTTATTTTATTTGTACGAAAATTTATATACCAAGATACGATCTGATTGTTTCGAGTTATCTAT